ATGTAGCGGAGTCTTGATTGTTCAAAGGTGGATCGATATAACTCAATAGCTATCCTTTCAAGCGGAGAAGATGAACCAAACCAATCGTAACACTTAAGCAAGATGACGTGGCAATATAGAGCTTTCTAATTGGTCGATTATATTTGCATACGTGGACAGCTTCTCTGGCTCTCATATCGCCCTTTTAATATAGTTAGATGGTCCACGCTTAGGGAAAGTGTTTTCATTTTGATTAGGTTTAGAAGCTAACCGGACAATCAATTTTTTTCCGAACCGAACCAAACCAAAATCATTTTGAATTATCATTCGTGTTTAGCAGTCCATGCTAAAAATGGTTTTTTTAATCTGTTGGTTTAATGGTGGGTGTCACAAATTAACATGAGAAGACTTGAACAGTATAGACATGATGAAGGTGGACGTTTGGATATCTGTCTATGTTTGATCTGGGTCTATTCACGTTTAGATTCTCAAAATTAAAAAAAATTATATCCATTTGAATATTTATAATTTTGTTTTGGGGTCGGTTCAGATTTTGCAAGTCGGTATAGATTATCCAAACTCCTTTAAATTATTATTAATTTTTAAATTTATATACATTTTTTCTTTTGTAAATTAAAAAAAACATATAAAACATATAAATTTCAAAAATTTATATAAAAGTACATGAACCTAACATAAAAATTAGTTTTGTTTAACTCTTTTGGATAAAGAATAATAGATATTTCAAGTGATTTGAGTATTGTTTAACTATTTTAAATATTTATTTTTACTATTTACATATATTTTAAAGTATTTTGGACACTTTTAAAATATCATATTTTGAATATTAAATTTAAAAATAATTAATATATTTAAGAATATAATTCTGATTCAGATATATTTAGTTATCTGAAATATTTAGATATATATTCAGACCTCAAAGTTTTTAGAATTTTTTTTTTTTGTTGATTGTTTTATTTTGGTTTATTTATCAACCATTTTTCCTTTAAATAATATAATAGTCGTTTGATGTTTAGAAAAAAAAGGTAGGCAGAATTAATTCATGTGTGCTCTATTGACTGACTATGGATGCAGTTGATGGACACAATTACCTGATCAATGGCATACCTGTGAATGGGCTTTTATACTGGCCTATTTAGGACTAGATTTCAAGACCAATTGCAAACGACAACTGATTTTTTTGGACTAAGCTATCAAAATCTTGGTCATGAGTTTTTAAGCTCGACAAACTAAAAGCCGAAATAATCAACCAACCGAAGGCAAATAACTGAAATGCCCCACCTACCTCTGGCTCCACGTATATGTGTGTTAACCACTATATATAGACATCTCTAACATATGCTTGTCGTATAAGAGGTAGACCGTAAACGTATATTCAACATGTAAACGTATAGATCGAAAACTATAAGCAAACAAAAAACAAAGTTGCTAAAAATATGTTTAAGAAACAAGAAGACAGAGGGAATCAATAGAGGTAGAGATAGTGAAAGGTCCTCAAGCCTACGTGATAAACACAGAGGATGATGACATAAACTCTTACCATGAGAAAAGAAAAACTGTTACTATGAGGTTTTGCATAAATTTGTCAGCGGAGGTCAAGCTGCTCTTTAAAGCAACACCAACATACCACAGAACAATAGGTCTACATGTTTTGGTTTTGTAATCGATGTTCTTAATCATATTTCATCTATGCAACAATAATAAAAATAATATGGAATACTAGTAGTGATCATAACATATTAGATAAGTAAAAAAAAAAAATATATTGTGGAGATCATTAAGTTTTAATCAAACATTATTGGACACTTTCGAGAGTCTTGTGTGAACATTTGGACTCAGGACTGATACTAGACTTTGTTATAACTATCATTTAATAATCATCACAACTTTCAAAACCTTTCCCCAAAAACTATCGTTCTTTTCTCATTAAATGTTGCTTTCTAACTAAATTTTAACCCATCTGGTGATATGACGCATGGTGCCTTTATAACTATACGAAGCACACAGATACACACAGTTTGCTTCTCCTCCGTGTGTATGTACATATATATAAATGTATATAGCATGACGTAAGAAAATCTTGTCTGATAGTTCTCGTACGAGATGATCCAAAATCTGTCAGAGTTCCATCATTGTCGTCCTCGTGGACAACTGATAAATACAAATAATGTAAATTTATAATTTACGTAAAAATACACTGAACAGTATCGACCATTTTCTAGTAATTTTTAGATCATTAACGAACAGTCATTATCATCACAGTTACAGTCTACGTATCCCATATGTCAAAATGATGGCCAAATCATATACCTATATTTCCTATTTATAAAAACTGACAGTACGTACTTATGTAGATGTGTATCTATATGTTCAACTGTTTTACGTATAACTGAAGAAATACTCACAGTTAATTTTAACTTTTAATAAATATATGCAGTTATTTACATTATTTTTTTTGTAACTGGTTTATTTACAAATTCACACAAGACAAACTATATGGAATAAAGTGGAACAGAATTTAAATGTTGATCATAGTAAATACGGTTTGGTTATTCAAAAAAAACGGTTTGGATATGATAAGTTGATAACTAGTATCAAATATTAACGACTGATTTTTTAACCATTTTGAATGATATACTTTTTAGTCCATAGTTATAAAAATGTCCATAGATATAAGAAAAACAACACAAAAAAATTAACCAATTTATTATGATTTATTGAAATGAAAGTGGACGATACATGGACTAGGGGTTCCCCATGAACTACAAATATTACTAGCACTCAACGGACCTTCAGATTTCATCCACTGGTCGGTTATATCCTCCGCTATCTTAACGGCGTCAAAGACCGTTCCCAAGAGCCCTCTTCTCGTGAAGCCCACCGTGTAAAGTCCATTCTCTCCTTTCCATCCGTTAGGAAACGGCGTCTTTGGCATTCCTTCTTTTGTGAAAAAACCATTTTCCTGTAACATTTCAAATGATCAATTTATACTTTTTTCAATTTCATAAAATAAATAAACAGAAAATACGGAGAGAAGACGGTGAAAACAAGGAAAAAGACGAGAGAGTTGTTCTTTATACAGAAGGTTTTATTCCATTTTGCATGGAGAAAAGAAGAGTTTTGGAATGTTGTTCATTTTGTTGCGTGTTACGTCCATATCATAGAAAGCGATGGATGAGTCGCTAAATGAAAAATGGTGACACTAAAAACTACTATTACAATTATTCATAGCCTTTGTACCTTATTTGCATGTGTCTGTTTATATCAATATATGTGTATCCTTGTCATTTTACATCACCATCACCGTTATTCTTGAAAATGAAGTTTTTTTTTTCAATTCCATGCGTATATTGTTGGTTTAACTATTCCCACGTATAGACTAGGTCATGAGGAAGAACTATTAGTATACCTCGAGCCAGTCGGGTACATTACTCTTATACCCGGTCGCTAATATTATCGAGTCGAACTCCATTTCTTGCCCGTCCACAAACTTTGCTCCCTTCTTCGTTATTGCTTTCACCGCTTGTGTCACCTAATAGTTATTAACCACAACAAGAATCAGTTATATATGTCTCAGTTACAAAAATAAATATCAGTTATGTTCGAAAATAAAACAAAAAGTCATAAAAGGTTAGCTATACATAAACAAAGTGCACTAAGTTCAATATTACCAGGATGCTACTTTTAATTCATATTCTAATTTTTTTAGCTATTGAAGACTTTTTTTTTTTTTTTTTTTTTTGATCAAAAGCTATTGAAGACTACTTTCTTTATTTAACAAAAAAAAAACAAAGATTATGAACTTACTCTAATTTGACCGGATTGTATCAAAGATATGGCGCCGACATCAAGAACCGGAGTTTTTCCGGTGGCGTTCTTGAGCTCAATTGGTCCGGTTTTAGGTCGTCGGATGCCTAACCGGTCGGTATTGCCAAGAGAGGAATTAGCAAGAAGCAGGAGAAAATTGTCCACCAGCTTTAGGGGAAACCATTTCAGTAGTGTCATTGCTATTCCAAAACTTGATAGACCAAAAACGTCTCTTGGTAATACATGTAGCTGCGTCATTACAGTAATTAATAAAAAATTGATAATAAAAAATTGAATGTATCTAATTAATTAGTTACCGAGTTTCTAACGACCATATGAGGCAGAGCATTGTATCTACAAAGATCCAAGCACACCTCCATACCGGAATTCCCACAACCAACCACCAAAACCTTCCGGTTTGCAAACTCCGAACCGGACTTGTACGCACTGGTGTGAACAACCGGTCCATAAAAATTCTTCAACCCGGGTATATCTGGTACCACCGGTTCAGCGTTCTCCCCTGTCGCCACCACTAGCCACTTGGATGTGTACACACAGTCTTGCGTCTTCACCTTCCATAGACCAGACACGACATCGAACTTGGCTTTCTCAACGGTTTGGTTAAATACCGGTTTAATATTAAACCGGGCGGCGTAACACTCAATGTAAGTGATGAATTGTTGCTTGGAGGGGTATCTTGGGAAGTTTTTAGGAAATTCCATAAGAGGAAGCTCACAATAGTGTTTAGGGAGATGGAGCTTAAGACGGTCGTAGGTACGTTTTTGCCATAAAGAAGCTAAACAATCGGTTCTCTCGAGTATAACCGATGGCACGCCTCGGTTTGACAAACAAGCCGCTACTGATAAACCAGACGGACCGGCACCGACCACGATCGGACCGTTAACGAAGATTGGACTATGCTCAGCTTCTAAACAAGAACTCATGTTTTGATTAATAAAAGAGTCGACTAACTAATGAAAATGGAGAAGCAAGAAGAAAGAAAGAAACTGTCTCTATCTTTTCTCTGACGCTCACACGCACCTAAGAAGTGTCCTGTTTTAGGGTCTTTAGTTGATTGTTTCTCGGGGAAAAACCAAGAAACGAAGTTGGTAAATATAAGATGAGGTGTAAATGCTAAAGATAGAGAGAGTGAAGAAGGCGTGAGAGAAAAGGAAAGGATTTGTTTGTGTTTGTTTTTCAATGTAGATGAGTTTTATGGGTTTTTCATCTTCTTGCTGTTTGGGTATTGAGTTGATGTGTAACTGTATAGTGTAGGGAGCAGAATAGGTCTAAGATGGGGAAAATGGTGCAGATATTAAATATAACCACTTGTAAAATCTTTGACATAAAGATTTTCTACTAGTCAAACTGTTTTTTTTTTCTACGATTAGTGACTACATTTCTTGCTGTAAATGTACCTTAAAGCTTGTGACAAAAAAAGTTCCTTAAGCAAATTCATTTGCACTTCCGTTGCTTGGCTGGCTCTACTATATCATGTTTGAACAAAATAAAACTTTTAAATGAATAATTTTATATGAAAGTTTAAACATCACTCTCTCCCTTTCAGATTTCTTCTCACATAAGAAAATATTATTTTTTACTATACTCCTAATTAATCTATAATTTTATTTGATTTTATTAGTTAATGGAGTAATTAAAGAGTAAAAATAAAAATGGAAAACTATAAAACATATGCATTCAAATTATAAAATAACAGTTATAATAAAATTTATTTTAGAATCTACGACGATATTTAAATAGAAACGGAAGTAGTATCTTAATTTTAAGTTTACCAACCCCCCCCCCCCTAACATATTGATATATTCTATATGATACAATTTTTTGAACATAATTCTGTATGATTTTTGTGTTGAAGTGTTTCATGATGTAGTTTTAATACTCGAAATACGATCATTATATGCGTACATTTTTAAACATTTTTATAATTAACCTTCCACCGAAAGTTTGTTGAGGTCAAGAAAGTATAGTAGAAGACTCACGTAATTTAATCCATACTAATTAACTTTGCTTGCTTTAACTAAGGTCTCCCAATATGTATGGCCTTTCTTTTTCCATCATAAGATGCATGATCACTTAAGAACATCTCCAACCTCACTCTATATTTTACTGCAAAATGGTGTGGATAATGAAGTAACGAAGAAATAAAAAATTTATTACTCCATATTTGGAATAATTACTTTTTTGTTTTTTCATCACTCAACTTCCCACTTCATTTTGCAGTAAATTAAGGAGTGGGATTGGAGATACTCTTAAAAAACTAAAATGAAGTTAACATGTTTCATAACTAATTAAATATTAAGCAATAAGGAATAAATGTGCATAACTGTGAGCTTTTCCGCTATACTTCTGCTCATTTTTTTGAACAAAATCGAAAAGTAACTAAAGGAAATAACAGATATTCCAGGATATATATATGAATATACTAAGTCAATATTAATGAGTTCATACGAATTATTTAGATAATTTGGGTTCTATAGCTTTATCGATACTATCTACTTCTCTTTAGCTAACAATTAATGAGCATTGTACGAAACACATAAAATTAATACTAGTAAGTAGATATATGGAAAATGTAATCGCGTTGCGCATGACTGACCACTCCTTCGGTAAAATGTCAACTAATGCAGCCGACCTCCACTTCCCCTCCAAGCCTTTGAGGTTGCAATATAAATATTTAACATATTATATGCAAATGCATCATTTTCCAAAGCAACCTCCTATACATTATGATAATCTTACCTATCACATACTCCTATATGCATACTAGATTTGTACTAACAGATTTCAGCCATTTTTAATCTGATGACATTTATAATATCATGCTGATAGAATCAAAACCATGAGATTAAAAGATCGTTATTAAACCAAAACACATTGGGATCTGACTCATTCAGGCTTTGAAGCCAAATAATGCCTGTGAGTTTATGTGCTTCTTAATTGTTTAAGATAATTTCCGTTAGTTTGTATGCTAGATATACAGGTAGTTTATAGGTAGAGTGGACTCTACGCGAAAGAATGGGGCTGAATATTATTTATAAGAAAAGACAGAACGTGTTATATTTTATTTAAAAATGCATGCGCATGTAAAGTTTGAAGAGGCCAATCAATGATTTAATGCATGCTAAACCTCCCATTGAGTAAGGTTTGACATTGCTATTATGGATACCATTTAACACAATTAAGACGTAAAAGATATCATACGTAACTTGTTAAATAGCCAACTAGATTATCTTGCTTTCATAAATCTTTTAGTGGAAACACAAATTATACGTAATCTTTGACCTGGGTGCATATTAATACATAGACTTTTTGAAATAGAATTAACACATAGACCCAATGTTTATACCCCAATCAATTTACTGTAAAATATAAGTAAATGACTCTGCGGCTTTCATACTAACAACATTTAATTAACATTTAATCCGTGCAGGTCAAAAGCTAATTTATTTTATTGGTTAAAATATTAGCTAGTAAAACTCATTTTGTGCTAAAATAACCCTAGTTGCAAAGTATACACATCCTAGCTGTTAGCTAAATATACTATTTGGACAGAACCACCGTCAACTTGAAATTCATGGGACGAAAATCAAATGTACTTATACACAATACAAATTTACAATCAAACAACTTCTAGACTCATTATATATGCATGCTTGGTATAGTAGAATGGTCCTTAATTACTTTTCTTCTGCTAACTAAAATGGTCCAAACTTACAGTTAAATAGAACCTAGACTCATGACAAGCTATGCAAGTGTATCAGCTACTAGTAATCTACTTTACATGCATGTTACGTAGTGTATTGATGGTCCCTTTGGTTAGACAAAAGAATATTTGTGGTTGGATGGATCAACATAAGCAATGCTGAATAAATTATCGATAATGGCAAAAACAAGAATATTACACTGTAGAGAAAAGATTTTGGGTCCTACACAAACACAAGCGTCACATATCTTCCTCTGGCATCTTCTTCAACTCATCCTTAGCTAATTCGGTATTTTCCGACTCAGTGCTCTTTGGAATTTTCTGTCAGACTTGAATTTGCCCTCACTTTGTCTCATAATAGATCATAGTTACATGACCACATATATAAACATACATTATATGTAACATATACGCATGCGAGAGAGCTGAGGTAGCTTCATTGGGAATTTTGAATGTACATATAATATGTTAGAATTGGACTGTTACTCTTGTCATCGTATATCTCATTGCGAAATAATTAAGTAAACTCTTTAGTCAAAGCTAAAATAAATAATTAAGTAAACTCACATAAGTCACTTTTTAAAGTGCCTCAAGTCCAAAATTTAGACTTAGTTACCATTATTAACTCCGACCAACATGAGTAAAAGCATAGTTTAATCACCGTCTATTCTTATGATCTTATCCAAGAAAATCCGGATTTAGCATGCATGCATCGTATGAATCCACTATCTATATTTTTTTTCTGAAAGGGCATGTCAAATGTAATCTGTATGCATAGATATTCTTACATGAGATCTTATCCAAAATTGATAGTTTTATTCGTAGTAATGTATGAAAAAGATTTGAAAGTATGATAGATGTTGTACTTATATAACTAAGAAATGTATCTTTGTGTGACGCATCACATCAATGCTCTTGTTTTCCAGCAAACTGAATAATAAATATCTGTACGTAATGTATAAAACTATCCCAAAATACATGAAAGTTTCTAAAACTGGTATCCATTTTGCAAGTATCTCCCAAATAATCTACAGTCTTAAAACTTAAAAGTGTATCTTATGCAAAATACGAAAAATGAGATAGGGACGTATTTGTTTTGACTAGGGCCAAACAATGTTAAATGAAATATATTAAAAAGTATCAAAAGCGTCTGTAGTCCAACGGTTAGGATAATTGCCTTCCAAGCAATAGACCCGGGTTCGACTCCCGGCAGACGCATTATTTTTTCATTTTTGGCCATTCAAATTTTTTACTATGTTGTTCGTTCAAATAATTGCAAGTTTTTCAATTCCATGCGTATGTTGTTGGTTCAAATAATTCATCATCATCACACGTATAGACGAGAACATGAGCAAGAATGATTATTAGTATATGGTTAATGACCACAAGAAGAATCATTTGTTATGTTAGAATCTTTCACCGATTGTGCCACCTAACCACAAGAAGAGTCATTTGCTATGTTAGAAAATAAAAACAGAAACTCATTAAGTTTAGCTATATTCATAAACAAAGTACAACGCATGCTTGTAATAAGTTCAGTATCACCAGGATGCTACTTTTAGTCACTAATCTTTTTCGCTATAGACTAAATTTTTTATATAACAAAAACTAGGATTATGAACAATTACTCTAATTTGACCGGATTGTATCAAAGATATGGCGCCTACATCAAGAACCGGAGTTTTCCGGTGGCATTCTTGAGCTCAGTTTGGTCCGGTTTTAGGTTGTCCGAAGCCTAACCGGTCGGTATTGCCCAGCGAAGAATCAGCAAGAAGCACGAGCAAACTGTCCACCAGCTTTAAAGGAAACCATTTCAGTAGTGTCTTTGCTATTCCAAAACTAGATACACCCAAAATATCTCTTGGTAATACATATAGCTGCGTCATTACAGTAATTAATTAAACCCGATTAGTTCAGCCTAATCCTTTTTATGTACATTGATTATGCAAAATTGAGCATAAATTAATTAATAACTTACAGAGTTTATGAAGACCACATGACGCAGAGCATTGTATCTACAAAGATCAAAACACACTTCGATACCGGAATTTCCACAGCCAACCACCAATGCTTTTCGGTTTGCAAACTCCAAACAAGACTTGTATGCACTGGTGTGAACAACCGGTCCAGTAAAATTCTTCAAACCGGATATTTCTGATACCAACGGTTCAGCTTCTCCCCTGTTGCCACCTAACCACCAGCGTTCTCCCAGTGGGTTCAATTACTAAGATCAAATGCTAAAGAAATCGCTAATGGTAACTATGCATTTTATAGAGGATTAGTGATTAAGCAGATTACTCGAGCTGGAAACTAGGCTTCACTTAGGTGTTAACTAATTATTGATTGATTTTAATATATTTAACATTTCTATCTTTGTTTTAGTTTTTAACTTTAGATATAGAAATATCAAAATTAAATATATAAAAAATAAACTAGACAAAGCTATCAAAAAAGGAAACTAGAAAAAATTGTGGATTTATAATGACGGCATTGCTTAATTTAACAAAGAAACCAATTTAGATTGATTTCAATTGATTTAGAATGGTTGAAACCGATTTGAATCTTATGGATCAGATCCTACATTCAAAAGTTAGGGCTTTTTCTGCTAAATTCATTTAGTTGGGAGCTTATATGATCATTTCCCTCTAATTAATAATAATATTTGATTTTTTTAGAATAATTAAACTATTTCAAATATGTATACCAAAATTTATTTAAGTAAGTTCCTAGAGAATAGTTCAAATGGAAAAATCACACATGAAATAAATCATAATTTATCTTTTAATATAGTAGATAAAGGACCTAAAGCTTGTGTTTTACCAGCTTCAAGGAAGGGGGTACTGTGGTAAGATGAAGAATGGACATGTGATAAGTAAATAGATGGGTTGTGGACAAGCGACTCGTGTTCAGAAGACGATTGAGGATGACCTTACAAAGTAAAAGATGCAAAATAAGTATTTAAATCATCAATAATGAGATATATTGTCAAAATTACGTTTAGTTAAAATTTAATATTCTACAAAGGTCGTTCTCTTCCACGTTTATATTAGACCATTAATTGCAACTAAAAACATAAATTAAGAAATTATATAAAATATTTTTTCACAAATTGTGAATTCAAATTGTCCACACAAACACATACACATGGACAAGTTCGTTTTATAAAATCTATTATTAATTTTAAAAAACTATTGAAAAATATTTCTAAATATTACTGATCGTAATTAGGGATTGGCAAAAAAACTGAACCCGAAAATACAAACCGAACCCGACCCGATAACAGGGAATCCGAACCGATCCGAACCCGACATAAGTACCGAATGGATCTTGTTTTACGGTATTTCGGGTTATGGGTTTTACCCGAACCGAACCCGAACTTTAATGGATATCCGAAAGAATCCGAAACTTTAAAATTCCAAAACAACTTGTATCATACCCAATCTAAATTTATAATATGTTTCCAAAACACATTAATATATTATTGAATACCTACAATAATTAATTATGATATGAATAATTAACTCAAATATTTAGTCTAATATATAGTATTATTTGGCTGTTACTAATGGTTATGATTGACACTACATTTGAAGTTAAGTTACAAATAAATTTATTTTGAAGTTTAAATAATGTTAATTTTTAAAGTTTAAATATTACTCTTATGTTTATATAAGTGTTAGTTGTTGACTTTAACTTTTTATATATCATTATGTATGACTTTCGTTCATACAAGGCTTTGTTTTGTCATTAATCATGATATATTTAGTGTTGTCACATATAGTTCAAGACAAATCTTATATGGTTGATAGACGAGTTTCACAAGATTATTTTGAAGGAGAACAATATGGTTTACAGAAGCTAAATACACAAATTTAATAAAACAATTGAAAATATAGTAAGTTTAATTGAGTATACATTAGTATTTTTAGAACCAATAACCCGATTAGTATCCGAAACCGAAACTATTTCGGGTTCAATCGGATCTTGGACATGTTACTTAATACGAACCGAATTTTTATAATATTCGAATGGGACTGAAATTCATGAACCCGAAAATCCGAAACCTGAATGAATCCGAACCGAAACCTGATTGAGAATAATGTATCATGAGTCAAATGATGTGTTTGTTTGAAAATAGTGGAAGGTCAAGTAACATTACACGATATCACCAATTAAATAACAAAAAAAAAGACTGAAAAATGAAATAACTTCCTCGTGTTAGAATGTATTTATTAAATTTTGTATATGTCACTATGCGACTATAAGATATATTAATCTTACAAAGACTAAAATGTTGGTGCGGCCTGCGTGAATATTGTGCTGGAATTTCTTATCTTATTAGTCTTTATATAGAGGGGTCGACCGGAATAATTTTCTTGAGTATTGTAGTAGTGTACTGACACTAAAATATTATCGATTTCGTACTATAGTTTGAACGACTGAATATGTTAATAAATTATTATTATTAGCATTTATGAAAGGGGTCGATTATAATATTTTCTTGAGTTTTGTATTGGTTTCGTGTTATAGAATAAACGATTGAATATGTTAATATTAGCTGCATGTGTATTGCGTTGAAATTTTTTTTTTTAATCAGATAATATAGTCTTCCTGCCCTTTTATAAAGGGGTCGACCAGGATGAGATTTAAACACCACACAAAACTTTGATTTTGAGAATAACACCACACAACAAAACTTGAGTTTAACAACTAAAAGAAGAATCTAAACACTAAACAGAGAAACGAGATGGCAAGCAATGGCGATGACAGCTACAACAGAAACCTTTGGCGGTTCAAAGGAAACGGTGCGACGAGTGATGCAGCGGCAGTAACATTGAGAAAGCTTGCTTTCGGGATGTTTAAAAACTGCAGTTTAAACAGTGGAAAGACAGTCTTATGCCCAACTCCTGGTGATCCCAATGCGTCTCCAAGCTTCAGGACTTGTCCCGAGGCCGAGGAAGCCGTGGCTGCAGCAGCACGTTCACGCATGGCCAACTCTTATGCACCAAGTCCCGGAATTTTCAAGGCCAGAAGGTCTGATTTATATACTCATTTTTCTTTTCTTTTAATTTCAAAAACAAAAAAAACAAAAAAGAGAAGAAAAATAACAAAACCTAATTGAGTAAAAATTACTAGTATTTATTTGTCTATATTTTTCTAAACAGAGCGGTAGCTGACTATCTTAACCGAGAGCTTCCTGCGAAGCTCAAAGCAGAGGATGTGTACGTCACCGGAGGTTGCAACCAGGCAATAGAGATTGTAATTGATTCTCTTTCTGGTAATCCAGCCGCTAACATTCTGCTTCCAAGGCCCGGCTATCCCCACTATGATGCTCGCGCAGTCTTTAGCGGCCTCGAGATTCGCAAATACGACCTCCTCCCCACAAGGAACTGGGAGATCGATCTTGATGGCCTCGAGGCTGCTGCCGATGAGAATACCGTCGCAATGGTTCTCATCAATCCCAATAACCCTTGTGGAAACGTCTACTCCTACGATCATCTCACCAAGGTATATAAATATTTTTGTAGACTATATATCCGGAACCTTTTTACGTGTGACATATAATATAATATATGACGTTTTTTTAATATGGATCAATCTTTAGGTTGCGGAGTTGGCAAGAAAACTTGGTATAATGGTGATATCTGACGAAGTATATGATCGTGTTGTATATGGAGACAAACCTTTTATTCCCATGGGGACGTTCGCATCAATAGCTCCAGTGATCACCCTTGGATCCATATCCAAAGGATGGGTTGTCCCAGGCTGGAGAATCGGCTGGATCGCCATGAACGATCCTAATGGCATTTTTAGATATACAGGGGTTCGTCAACTTCTAAACTTTAATCTTAATTGACTTTAGTTTAAGAATAGTAACTAATATTTTGTGCCTTGTGTTGACATCAGGTAGTTCAAGCAATAGAGGATTGTCTTGATTTAACTCCACAACCTTCATTAATTCTTCAGGTTTGTAGAGTTACACATATTATTAGACTAAGGTCCCTTTTAGTTTCTTAATAAAAATGGGCAATAAGCTCCTATCAGATATACATAAAGAGATGTATTTTAAATATAAATATGTTCGTGGGATTTTCACAGGAAGCACTTCCTGATATATTGGAGAAAACACCAAAGGAATTCTTCGCCAAGAAGCTCAAAGCCATGAGACGCAACGTAGAGCTTTCGTGTGAGAGGCTCATGGACATTCCTTGTCTCTTTTGCCCCAAGAAACCCGAATCTTGTTCTTATTTATGGGTACTTTCTTTTGCTTTGATTTAGGATATGTGTTATATATCATTTACTTTTGAATTCTTGATTATATCCCATCATTAGGAAACATGCATTCACAATCTACATCATTAAAATCATAACTTTGCTAATTTATATATAACTAACTGGTCTAAACGATTTGTTTTGCAGGTAATGCTTGACACATCTATGTTGAATAATATTAAAAATGATTTTGATTTTTGCTCGAAGCTAGTTACTGAGGAAAGTCTTGTCCTGATACCAGGTATTAATTGATCTCTGCTGCCATATCTGAAGTTTAGGGCTCTTAATGTCATATTCATGTTCATGATTCTACGATATTTACTATCATTTTTCTGTTTCACTAATATACATACTATGTGAAAATTAAAATTTTGCAGGAGTTGCTCTAGGCGCAAAGAATTGGGTGAGGATATCGATCGGAGCTGAGGAATCAGTGTTAGATGAAATATTTGACAGATTAAAGAGCTTTNTTAGGGCTCTTAATGTCATATTCATGTTCATGATTCTACGATATTTACTATCATTTTTCTGTTTCACTAATATACATACTATGTGAAAATTAAAATTTTGCAGGAGTTGCTCTAGGCGCAAAGAATTGGGTGAGGATATCGATCGGAGCTGAGGAATCAGTGTTAGATGAAATATTTGACAGATTAAAGAGCTTTTACATTCGTCATGCCATTTCCAAAGAAGCAATCAAATTCGATGGTGATACCATTAATCTGATGGTTGTTTCCGTTATTTAAGTGTCGTCCACACTTGCACTTTTGTATACTTCCATTATATTTACAACACATATATAAGCTGGAAAACATGTAATATCAAAAAGGTACTAATATATTTTATTTTCTTGAGTGCTTCATTTTCTTCTCTTTAACATCATTATCACTAACCACTAATACAACAACCATAACGGGAACAAACAAAAGAAAATGTAAAAGTTATAAATGGTTATCCTTTTGCCACATGTTATTTGTCTTTTTCACTACACACTCATATCCAACCAAGACAATCATACGACTGTAAAACTATAGAAGTATACCAAAAATAAAATCTATAATTAATCCATCATCATAGTAAATTTACAATTCAAAAATCAGAAACAAGCAAATAAAGACCAATTAACGTTAGAAAATTAGAACAGAAACCTCCACTTTCTACTAGATACTTTTGAAGATATAGTATAATAAAATATAATGCAACCTCCCATAATGCATACATGATATATCATGACGAACAACGAAAATAAAAAATATTCAATAACTACAAAACACATTAAACGTTTGTTAGAAACGCGTATCGACCACCAAAATGTAAGAAATCTCAACAACATCATATGAATCATCTAAAAGAAGAAACATACATGATGTAAAAGATTATTCATAAATACTGGTAATTTCAAAATTATAAATAATTTCGGATTCTAGAGAATAAAATATATAAACCCGGCGCCTAACGCCGGAATACCACTAGTAATAGATAATTCCTATTATATAAAAATAAATAAATAAGAGTCTATTAGATAGGGTAAAACAACAACATAAAATGATACTCACTCAATTTCATTTTAATTGTCATTTTAGGTTTTTACACACAAATTAATAAACATTTAATTTTACATATTTTCAAGATAAAAACACAATTACCTATACACCTAACCATTTTTACCTAAATAGAAAAATAGAATACCATATAGAACTAATAAATTTTGTCTCGAAACACTAAAATAACACTTAATGTTGAAAGGAAATTTTTCTCTAAAATGACAATTATTTCGAAACGGATGGAGTAGTTGGCAAAAATTCAAAACAAATTATCGTAAATACGATTTTAATTATCCTATTTTATTCCAACATATCAAAAGTGTATTGTCAAGTAACTCCCAGAAAATCTAGAGTCTCAAAAGTGAATCTTATCTATATTATTAAAATAGAAATACAAAATAGAAATAACCCTTAATTTTATCAGTTATTTAAATTAAAATGCCATTAAAATATTTATTGAACATATATTTAAGTATGCTTGTCTTTCCTTAATTTATATAATATATAGATTAAGTATTTAATATATTTTCATAATTTAAATCATAGATTTCCTTAGTCAAATCTTAACCAAAATAATTTTCCTAATATATTTGGTATTAACATATTAAATATTGTAGTATTTATTAGTAATAAATAATATGTTAGTTTTATGTAAGGAATTTTTTAAAGTGATGCGAAGATTTTGGAATTGGAAAAAAATATGACCTACCTCTATATTATTTTAATTCGGAAATTAAAATTTATATCAGAATATTTTATTAAATTTTTGATTTGAATTACTATAACTGTGACGATTAATTTTCAATCTAAATTTATGTTTACATATTAAAATACATCATTTAATATAAACAAAAATATAAAATAAATACCCACCTAATCGGACGGGTCAAGGTCTGGTGTCAAATTAAAAATAGAGTAAAACTGGCGGATGTAGGATTTTAATTTTTATGAGACAAATCAAATATAAACATAGAAAACAAGATTTACAATGATTTTAATAGGGGACAAATCAAATATAAACATAGAAAACAAGGCTAAAATTTATTTATGTTATAGAGAATTTAAAATTTTCATGGGGGCAAGTGCTACCAACTTGGCTTAACTACATCCATCACTGACCATGCTTTTTTTAATTGTGACACAACACGAGAAGAAAATAAGTATCTAAACAAATATGTTGCTACCGTCCCTAATATTTTATTAGCTTATATCATATCTTTTAAATATAGTCCTAATTGAAAATATTTAATTTTTCCATATCTTATAAACTTATTTTTGATAATTTTGAAAAAAAAAATATATGAACCATCACTAAAATTTTGATTTTACTTGATATTAGTAAATTATTAGTGTGGATGCTAATATATTTAGTTTCTAACGTTTAAAGCATGCATCATTTTAAAGAAATGTTGAATTTATTTAGTTAGTGTTATTATCATTTAGTACTGTATAGGTAGATCTTTTTTCTGGAAAAATGATTTCAAAAATAAATATATGTTGAAAACTATTATCAAACTCAAATCAAATTAAAAATAGAGTAAATGAGGTTACATAATTTTAAAAGTGATTAGAAAATAGTATAAACAAAATAATAAGTAAACCAAAACACATAGTAAAAATTCTCTTTCTTCACAAGGATCGAACAAATCTCAGATGAAGCTAATAACTAAGATCTTAAATACATATAGTGAAACTTTTATAAATTAATAATGTTGGGACTACACCAAAAAAAACTTTTTATTAGTTTAGATATTAATTTATCGATATAGTAATTGAACCAAAAATTCAATTTGAAACTACAAAATTCTATTATTTTATAGAGATATTTAGTATATATTAATTTATCGAGTGTTGATTTATAGAGGTTCTACTGTACTAGACATGTGGCTTATGTTTTTTAATTAATTGGTACCATAAAACTTGTGCTTTAACAGTTTCGAGGAAGGGACGACTCTTCTGGTGATCGTGGTAAGATGAAGAATGAACCATTCTGAATGGACATGTATATGTAAACAGATGGGTTGTGGACATGAGACTCATGTACAGAAGACGATAGAGGATGGCCTTGCAAAATAAAATATGCAAAATAAGCATTCAAATCTTCAATCATGTGAAATATATTGTCAAAATTACGTTTTGTTCAAAAATTTAATATTCTACAAAGGTTGTCCTCGTCCACGTTTATATTGGACCATTATTTGCAACTAAAAACATAAATTAAATAAATATGTTTTCACAAATTGCCTATTCAAATTGTCCACACAACATATACATATGGACAAATTTCCTCTATAAACTCTATTATTAATTTAAGAAAACTTTTGATTTTTTATTCTAACTATTACTGATCATATTGTATCCATGAGTCAAATGATGTGTTTATCTAGAATAGTGGAAGGTCAAGCTAAATTACACGATATCAACAATTAAAATAACAAATTGATATAACTTCCTCGTGTTAGGATATTCTTATAAATTTTTGTATAGGCGCACTATGCGACTATAAGATAAATTAATCTTAAAATACTAAAATATTGGTGCGTCCTGCGTGAATATCGTGCTGGAACTGGAATTTCTTATCATATTTTTCTTGAGTATTGTAGTAGTGTACTGACACTAAAATACTATCGATTTTGTCTTATAGTTTGAACGACTGAATATGTTAATAAATTATTAATATTATTAGTCTTTATTTCTTGTGTTTTGTATTGGTGTAGTATTGGTTTCTTGTTATAGAATAAACAATTGAATATGTTAATATAGTTGCATGTGTATTGTGTTGATTTGTTTTTTTTTAATCAGATAACAGTCTCCCTGCCCCTTTATAACGGGGTCGACCAGGATGAGATTTAAACACCACACAAAACTTTGATTTTGAGAATAACACCACACAAAACTTGAGTTCAACAACTAAAAAAGAATCTAAACACAAAACAGAGAAACGAGATGGCAAGCAATGGCGATGACAGCTGCAACAGAAACCTTTGGCGGTTCAAAGGAAACTGTGCGACGAGTGATGCAGCGGCAGTAACATTGAGAAAGCTTGCTTTCGGGATGTTTAAAAACTGCGGTTTAAACAGTGGAAAGACAGTCTTATGCCCAACTCCTGGTGATCCCAATGCGTCTCCAAGCTTCAGGACTTGTCCCGAGGCCGAGGAAGCCGTGGCTGCAGCAGCACGTTCACGCATGGCCAACTCTTATGCACCAAGTCCCGGAATTTTCAAGGCCAGAAGGTCTGATTTATATACTCATTTTTATTTTCTTTTAATAAAAAACGAAAAAATAACAAAATATTTAAAAATAAAAATAAAGATCTACTAATAATATATATATATATATATATATAATAAAAATATAAAAAATATCATATATAATACAAAAATATATATATAAAAAATAACAAAACTTACCTTCTCATCATTCACTAAATAAGTAAAATCATTAGTTATTTATTTGCCTATATTTTTCTAACAGAGCGGTAGCTGACTATCTTAACCGAGAGCTTCCAGCGAAGCTCAAAGCAGAGGATGTGTACGTCACTGGAGGTTGCAACCAGGCAATAGAGATTGTAATTGATTCTCTTTCTGGTAATCCAGCCGCTAACATTCTGCTTCCAAGGCCCGGCTATCCCCACTATGATGCTCGCGCAGTCTTTAGCGGCCTCAAGATTCGCAAGTACGATCTCCTCCCAACAAGGAACTGGGAGATCGATCTTGATGGCCTCGAGGCTGCTGCGGATGAGAATACCGTCGCAATGGTTCTCATCAATCCCAATAACCCTTGTGGAAACGTCTACTCCTACAATCATCTCACCAAGGTATAAATATTTTTTTGTAGACTATCCCGAACCTTTTCATGTGTGACATATAATATATGACATTTTTTCTTTAATATGGATCAATCTTCAGGTTGCGGAGTTGGCTAGAAAACTTGGTATCATGGTAATATCTGACGAAGTATATGATCGTGTTGTATATGGAGACAAACCTTTTATTCCCATGGGGACGTTCGCATCAATAGCTCCAGTGATCACCCTTGGATCCATATCTAAAGGATGGGTTGTCCCAGGCTGGAGAATCGGCTGGATCGCCATGAACGATCCTAATGGCATTTTTAAATATACAGGGGTTCGTCAACTTGTAAACTTCAATCTTAATTAATTTACTTTAGTTTAAGATCGAGTAACTAATATTTTGTGCCTTGTGTTGACATCAGGTAGTTGAAGCAATAGAGGATTGTCTTGATTTAACTCCACAACCTTCACTAATTCTTCAGGTTTGTAGAC